ATATATATATATATATATATATATATATATATATATATATATATATATATATATATATATATATATATATATACAGTATATATATAAGACACAGACAGATGTCAGACTGTTAACTCACTTTTATCATCATTTGCATGAAAGTGCAATTATTTACAGAGTAATAACAAGTATTTTAATATAACGTTTTTAAAACTAAGATGATGGTTCAATATGAATAGGACAGATCCAAGAACTGTTCATCCCAGTCAAAACAGTCGAAGTTTAGCAGGTCTCATGCTGTCATTAGCCAAAATATCTTGACAAACCACACATAAAGGTCGTGGTTCATCAGCTGGTCCTGTCCACGTAAATCCTAAACTCAAATACTGATCATCATATCGTCGTCTTTTGGGTTTAAGCCCTGAACTTGAAGGCTTTGAATCGGGGGGTCTCAGAAACCGACACGGCACGTGCACACATAGGGCTTAACCTGTGCAGTGCACATGCCCTTTTTAGTCCTGGATAGAAAGTGCCCTTCCAAAATGATCAAAAGCGCCCCCGGGACGCGGCACACCCTCGTTCCCGCCCTTCAGTAGGCGTGCGAACAGAACAGAACAGAACAGAACACAGCTGAACAGAACGAGCGCGACAGAGGCGCGCCTCACACTTTGAAAACCCCTGCTATATACTATATAGTTACTATAGTAGCTTATAGTTACTAGTTCTATTGGATTGCGACCCCTGGGGTAATTACATTATATTAAAGGCAGCAATAGCGTCAGATGCATTTGGATCTTATAACATCAGGTTATACTTTCTGGCACATTTGAAGCACTGACACAAATTTAATTGGTGTGTCTGCGTCATTGCATGCAAGGATTCTGTATTTATAACCACCTCAGAGGATATTGGGGGTTGCGACTCACTGGCATTGTTATTTTGGGGGTCGCGGGGTGAAAAGTTTGGGAACCCCTGGCCTAGAGCAGTGTATCCCAACCCTGTTCCTGGAGGCACACCAACAGTACATATTTTGGATGTCTCCCTTATCAGACCTATTCATTTCAGGTTTTGGGAGTCTCTTCTTTGGTGGCTCAGTGGTTAGTCGTATCAAAGCAAAAAGGTCACTGGTTCAAGTCCCGGCTGGGTCAGTTGGCTTTTCTGTGTGGAGTTTGCATGTTCTCCACTTGTTGTTGTGGGTTTCCTCCGGGTGCTCCAGTTTCCCCCACAGTCCAAACACATGCGCTATAGGGGAATTGAGTAAACAAAAATTGGCCATAGTGTATAAATGTGTGTGTGTGTGTGAGTGTGTGGGTGTTTCCCAGTACTGGGTTGCAGCTGACAGGGCTTACGCTTTTTAAAACATATGCTGGGATAGTTGGTGGTTCATTCCACTGTGGCGACCTCTGATAAATCATAGACTAACTGGTGGAAAATGAGTGAATGAGTCTCTTCTAATGTTCGGATAAGTTGACTCAGGCGTGTTTGATTAGGAAGAGGTTAAACGTGTACTGTTGGTGTGCCCTTAGGAACAGGATTGGGAAGCGCTGGCCTAGAGTACATATTTCATAGTTCGTAAAAATGTAGCACTGCGCACACATCTCCAATGAGCCTGTGTTGTGTATATCTGCCGCCTCTCTTCCCTCTTGTGGCGTGTATCTGAATGAAAACCCAACATCAAATACAGGGCTGCAGAGGAAAATGCAAGTGGAAAACTACCATACAGTTTAATCAGCCTTTTGCATGTGAATTCTGAAATCAGCACCCAGCCCGATGGAGATTTTTTGAGATGGGAGTTGTAGCACTGCATGAGGAGTTGATAAATATGAAGTGTACAGTGTGAGTGCTGGAGCCGCAGAAGCTCCAGGTCTGTCTCATTACCGTGAAGGGTCTTTAACAAGCCTCTTAGGGTCCTAATGTGACTTGATCCTAAACTGCAGAGAGATAATTGTCAGGTGGAGACAGAGCAAGTGGTATCCGCTCCGGCCTGAAGCCACGGGGTTCCTCTAATGAACTGACAGACCACCCGAAATGCTGCCAGAGCGGCTCCTCAACTTCTCCTAATGCTCCTGCTATTAAAAGCAGCATCACTTCATCAGCATGTAAATAAAGGGCTCTGTGGCTCCTGCTTGTGGGTTCATTGATGCAGGATGACAGTAATATCAGGTCCTGTGAGGTCGGAGCAGATCCTCCAGGGTTTTGAAAGGCAGCCAGATTGGCAGGACGTCAGCAGATGGTCAATATTATCAGTCTGAACTTCCCACAAGCCCTCACGTGTCCTGCTGTGACTCTACACAGGACATTAATCACTGCTTATTTAGTGTTCTATACGGGATATGGGTATTCAGGGTTCTGAACTATCTATCTATCTATCCATCTATCCATCCATCCATCCATCCATCCATCCATCCATCCATCCATCCATCCATCCATCCATCCATCCATCCATCCATCCATCCATCCATCTATC